GAAAAGTAAGGAAGCGAATTTTAGATTTGCAGAAAGTTCTCAGAGTGAAGTATTTCGGAATGTGGTATTTCTGAGAAACAATTGAGAGAGTATTCAGTGGCCTATGGGTCTTAGACAGTGTCGTCTTATGTTCGAGTCTCGTGTGGTAAGCTTGGATTGAGGCATTGTGATGCTACAGCGAGGGAGAAATATCAAGTGGATGATGAATCAAAAAGGGAAATTAGATAGATGGAATAGCTTGATAGTAGACCGAATCGGTATGGTAAGGATGTGATTAATTCTTCGTATGTGTTCGAGGTAATGGGCTTTTACAGGTATTGTGCAGCAAGGCTCTTGAGTAATGACAGCTTGCTTAGCTTGGTTCGGGTAGAAGGATTCAGTCCTGGCAGTTTAGCTTGTGCAATGGAATTGGGGGAGAGTTCTTGATAAGTTTTACCGTGGTTTAGAGGCGTATAAATTGCCTATGGGCATGCGGAGCATGGAATGTGTAATGATTTCTCTTCTTGATGGGATTGATGGAGAGTTCTTGACTAGTGGAGTACGTAGATGTTTGTGGTTAGGAAGGGAGATGGAGTTCTCATGTTATACTAGTGTGGTATGGTATATGCGATATGTGGTGGAGGATTGGGATTGGTGTGTGTAAGGTTACGGTTCTGTTCATAATGGAAAGTCATTAAATTTTTAAGCAGCACGGGCAACTGCAGGTGATTAAAGAATCGATCTTCAAATGATTAAGGAAAATGGTATTGCCAACCATAGTGATTCGACGGGGGTATATGTTCCAGTAAAAGGGCAATGTGATGTAAACTGATAATACTTCGGTAGTGTTGTGGCATTTAGGATCGTCTGCTGATATCTGAGTTTGTTTGATGGCACAGGGAAATTTTAGAATACCTTTCGTGGGATGATTGGGTACTTGAGGTGTGACATGTATTCGTATGGCGCAATTTGGGATCAGGTATAGTGATTCGTGTGCTATATGGAGTTGGAGACTAGGAGTTCTCGTGTTCAGGCTATTCAGTTGTTGTAAATCGTGTGTATCGGCACCGTCTAGCGGTTATTGGGAATTAGAGGTCCGAGTGGATCTTTCTTTGCTTGGTATGCCAAATTTTGGATATGATATTGGATTGTAGGCTGGTTGTCTCAGTGTTGGGTTATTCTAGACTATTGTGCTACGGGCTAGGCCGGAAATGCCACGGGTTGAGCGGCAAGGTGCATTGGATTATGTTCTTGCAGAGTGGTATATATTTTAAAAGATGCAGCGGACGGCTGAGAAGGATTTCTTTTCTTAATTGGGCCTTCGCGACGGATGTCAGTGCAGAGGTTTCTACCATTGATTCAGTTCCGGTATTGAGTGACTTTTCGGATGCGTTTTTTGTGGCCGGGCATGTCGCCGGGTGAGATGGCGGATTTCGGTATTTATTTGGTGTCGGGAACCGTATTGTATGGCTCCGACAGGAGTTATAGTAGTGGAAGGAGCAGCTTCAGGCTTCTTGATAATGAGCTCGTTGGCAGGCCAATGTGGCTGCGTATTTAGCTTGAGTTAGCTTGGTTAGTCCCAAGTTGTATTGTTGAGGGATAGGTTGGATCTATCGTTATTGAGCTTGTTTAGGGATCTGGGGAGATCTATGAGTTGCTTTCTGTGCTGTGGGACGTCATGACTTGTTGGCTATAGGCACATGTGGTGCGGTCCTATTTGAGACTCATAGAGGAAGTCGAGCGGGAAGAGTGATTGAGTGTTGCTCAGCAAATGGAGTATTGGTTATGGCCTATCGGGTTGTGTGTCATATGTTATTGGTTTCACCGTGGATGTAATGAATTGCTTTGGTTACAGACATCAAATGTGCGTGGCTGTCGATTTTGATCATAGTGACTTGAGGTGCTTCATGTGTAACAGTGTTTGGATATGATCGCGTATTGTAGCGAGGCTACATGGAGTTAGGACCCTTCGAGGTAGATTTAGGTGTTCTATTTCTATGATGTGAGACGGGGTCTCAGCCTTGTGTTCTGACGACACTGATGAGCTTGAAGTACAGCTCTTTTGTTTGAGATATTTTCATGATTGGAGTATATTCAGGTCGTTTCTTGTTGGTACGCGTATTATGCAAGTTGTGGCTTAGGCCTGTGTTGAGGTATCATATCACCAGAGTGGTGTGTTGGGTTCAAGGTGATCGTTA